AACTTTTCCCATGGCAACACAGGTACTAATGCTAGTCCTAAATGTGATATGGGACTCTATTGTTTCAGTAAACTTTTAAATTAGTTGATACAAAATGCACTGTTGGTATCAAAGAATTTAAATTACTTGGCCCTGCAAGCTAATAGAGGAACTTGTTTAGAAGTGATCTACAAATGAAAGGATCCTATTTTATCTTCATAGATTGTTACAATCTCTTCATTCTCTTCATCTGATTATCTGAATCTACTAACGATGCCCTAGTATTGCTTTTATTGTTTCTATTACTGACAACTTTAACCAGCTTAAAGGGATGAACTATGTGTCCTCAAGAGTAAATTGAAACATTCACTTAGCCAACAATGAATTGCCTTCATTTTGATTAATAGGCTAAAGTTCAAAGCTGACCTTTTCAAAAATTAAATTACTAAATCCCATGATAGACAGGAGGGGAAGTATATTATGTGCTAAGTGCAAGGTCACCTACAGTATAATCCAGTTTGCTAAATTAGGTTGGCATATTCCTTGAGGAATGATTCCTATTTCTGTAAAAGTCTAACATAGTTCATATCTCTTTAGTGTAAACTAAAGCTTTCTTCTGACTATCATGAGGATGGACAGCTGGCATTCTGGAAGAAGACACTTATATTAGGCATCCAGGTGTCTGAACATAAAAAAAATAACTGGTCTTAAGACATATATTACATGTGCATGTGTGCTTTGATAATACATGTATCTGTATCAATGTAGCTAACAATTGTACTGCAATCAACCACAAACTGTATTGATAGTGGCTGTGATTGTGTGATTGAATCTCTGCCTTTTTTATATGTGCATCATTCATGTTGCAATATTTTCAGGATCAGACTCAATAAAGATAATAGGAGTTAGAGCTTTAAATATATTTCTTTTTAATTATGATAGGCATTCTATATTCACTGAATATTCAAGGTAGAAGCGCCGAGAATGGTGAGGGTGGCTCCTTATATATACAAGGGGTGGAGCTAGGAATGGGAGTGGTAAGTTATGAATACATTAAAGTCCAAAGAATAAGTTAACCTCTGATGTTCCATATATACATTATTTACACATTGGAGAATAAGGCATTTACATCTGACAATTCACATATGCACATACAAAGGGCCAGACTTTGATTGCAGATTTACCATTGTCATCACAATTTTTAAATACTTCCCTCCCCTTGCAAATATTGCTGGTTCTATCTGTGGTGAAGAGAGAATGTTCTTACATCGGTCAATTCAGACTTGGAATCTGAGAGAAAAGATATTGTTATTTATTATTATTTATTTATGTCTTTCTTCAGCATGTATTCTATTTCCAACGTTCTAAAGGAAGAGATCAAATGAAACAAGGCCTTAAAAACTGGAGCTGAAATGCAATCACAGAGTCATGGTGGGAAGGCATCTTAGAGGTCAACTAATCTCATTCTTTGCAGAGTGCAGGATCCAGCAGAATCTCTTTAGTTGATGATCAAAGCCTTCTATCTGAAGCCCTGTAGCAATCATCATTTCCTTAGGTGGCAGCCTGTTCCATTGATGTTCAATCTGCATAGATTCATTCATCCTGAATCTTGATACCTTGAGCTCTCATTATCCGTTTGAGTTGTAAAGATTCATCCATCTTGAATGAAACTGAAATCTAATGCTATTAAATTCCTTGGTGGTTTCTTTGTAGAAAAAGGAATCATAGAGGTTGGCAGTAGGATTCAGGGATCAGAACTGAAAGCCACTTTCTGCCAGAAAAGTGGATATTAAAATTTCATGAAGAATAGGCAATTTCTCATTGGAACCATGAAGAGGGTTAACATGATCTGAACGCATATGAACAGTAATTTATCTGTCTGTTTTGATAAAATGTCAACTTTCAAATGAAAAAAGGCAAGATAACTCTTTAAACCACATTGACTTATTAATAACAATTTGAATTCTGACAAAATAAGTATTGTGGGAGTGAAATGCTGTATTATAAGCTTGTTATCTGCAAATCTGTCTATCCTCTGAGACCGGTATTTCAATTCAAATCTGATATATAGGGATTTAAAATAAACCACAAGTAGCAAAGAAAATTAAAAACCCACAACACATAATATTTTAGAATCAGTAGTGCTTTGTGTCCAGGAATTTATTATCATTATTGTTGCTGCTGAATCCAGATCAGGTATTTAGTCTTGCCTCCTCTGCAGCACTTTCCTCTTGGGCTGCTTCACTATAGGTTGTAGTTCACAGAATGAATTAAATGGATCCCTTCTGACTTGTACAGCAGAATGGTCAAGTTATAACAGCAGCAAGATTGTTGATAGGTAAATATTGGAAAAATGAAGCTTTGCCCACTATTGAGGAATGGACTTTGAAGATGGCCAGTTTTGCAGAGATGGCGAAGATTTCAGCATATTTAAAAGATTGCTCACAAGAGACTTATGAATGGGAATGGAAAAGATGGATAGAATATGTTCAGAACAAATATCAAACTAGAAAGTATCAAATAGCTTTTATTTGAAAATAATGTTTTAGAAATATTTCAATGTAATGAGGTAAAAAGAAAAATTATACAGGGGAGGGAGGGGTTCAAGTTTACACATAAGTGTCATATTAAGGGTTTTTTTCTTGTGTTTTTTTTTTACGAGTTATGAGTATATTATAGGGAAGTCTGGGGGGAGGGGAGGGTTAGGAAGGGTTAGGGAGGTTGGGAAATTTGTGGGGGTGGAGGGGGGGAAAAAGGGGTGAAAATGTAATTGTAAAACTTTTGCAATAAAAAAAAAAGAAAAAGAAAAAAAAAGAAGTTATAACTTTGGCTCACTCATAAATTAAGTAATGATCTTGTCTGTTGATGCTGTATTGCTTAATTAATAAGCATACACTTTTTTGCATAATGTAGTAGAGTTGAATTAGATTTACTATCTGAATTGGCCCATCAGTATGTTCTACCTGGGAGATGTTCTTGCTTATATTCCACTTCCATAAAGTGGGAAGAATGAAAGCCAGGAGTCTTGTTTTTCCCCAGCCAGCTCTATAGATTAGTCTCTTCTTAGAACAAGGCTTGCTCCTGTCTTAAATGCTCCCAAAATTATTTAAGTTGGAATTTTCTGAAGAGCCTTTGATGCATAGTTTAACTTCCTATTCCTATCCTAAGTGCTAAGATCATTACTTTGTTATGATATCTATACATCTATCTAAAATCTAAACGTATCTATCTAAAGTTTATCTAAATGTATTTTGGATGATTCTAAATCTTTAGCATATTTAAATAAAAAGTTAAAGAATATTATTAAGGGGGATATTACTTATCTCCAAGAATTCTGGAATAAACAACTGGGATATTCTGTATTAAGAAATAAATAACTATTTATTTATATAACTAAAGGATCATTTCGTACCATTTTTAGATAAGTGTTTAGATAACTATTTAGCAAAAGGTTTAATTTTTATTGGACATCCAAGAGAATCCTTTGAAAAAAATTGGTGATGAATTTTATTATGTTGCAAATATACAATGGTATGGAGACATTTACCTATATGATATGGAGTTTTCTTATTGCCTTGTTTTGGTTTAATATTCATTTTTGGATATGGTATTACAGTACAAAGATCAATATGGTTTAGAGATATGAATGACTTCTGAATCATATACCAAAACATGGAGCTTATCACTCGCTATATGAAGGATTATGGATTTGTTGAGCATGGGTAGCAGTAAAAAAGATTACTTTCCACTGGTTTTATCAGTCTTCTGCAGAAAAGCTCTTTGCAGCCAGCTAGCTATGCAAATGCAACATGCTCACTTGTTCTCCAGCTGCCAACACCAAGAAGTGCAAGCAGAAATACTGCTGCACTTGATCCATTCAGTATTTAGTCAGCTTGTAGGCTGTCAAATACTCTTGGCAGAGGCATTGGCTTTCCCTGCTGACCCTTAGAGGACTCCAAAGCAGTTCAAGGCAGACTGGGAGATGGAAATGTTTCTAGCTCTCTTCCAGACTGTCTTTATCTCAGATATGGTCTCCAATAAGTTATCTATTAAACAAACAGACGTTTTTACTATTTTTACCTAGAAAATTGGCCTTCCAAGGTAAAATGAACAAATGCTTCAATTGCATTCTGGTGTACCTTTCACAGCTGGTATGTGTTGAATAGTGCTGAGCTTCAGGATTTAGTAACTATGCTCTAGATATCAGATTTCCTGATGTTTTGCCAACAACTATCACTGGTGTCTTCAGAGGCAAGCTACTGTACACTACTGCACAGACCAAAGAAGCTGAGGAGGGACTGACTCCTGGCTCCTGTCTTTACAGCCAGGTGTCCAGAGTTCTGACTGGTCTTTACCCAAGATGGTTTCCCATTGGTTTGGGTTGGTGAGGACTGATTCTTTCTTTGTGCCCAGTCTTTAGTGGCTGTTTTGGTTGCGTTAATTCCTGACTGATCTTTTGGTGGAGGGTCTCCTGCTTGGGCAGGGGGTTGGTCTAAATGACCTACAAGGTACCTTCCAACTCTGTTATTCTGTTATTATTTTGTTCATGCCAGCGTCTCACTGGTCATTTTTGGAATGCTGACTTCTGATTGTTTTTTAATGCTGGATCCTGATTGTTCAGACTGACCAGCTGAATCCCGATTGGGTTCTTGCCCAGGCTAATTTCTGATTTGTTGATTTTGGGAGCTGATTGCTGGCTGGTCTTGCTTTTGAGCAGGATGTTTGTATGGTGCAAGGCAGGTAGCCAGGTTTTGTTAATCTTCATATTTTCTTCTTTCTTTCTGTGGATATCATAGCCTCTCTATGAAGGCATTATGTAGTAGTTTGATATTCTTGACAACATGTATGTGTCCTTAAATTGAATTTTATGAACATATGATCACACAGGTTCCACTAATGATAATTTTTCTGGCTATCTTAATTTTTAGTGCCTCTGGGGTTTCTTGGGAGATAAAACAGACCCGAATTTGCAAAGATGAAATCAGGAAAGCTAAGGCTCAGAATAAAGTAAGACTTGCAACTTGCAATGTCAAAAATAATTTTAAAAATTTTCTTTCAACATATAAAAAACACAGAAAAGTCAAGGAAACAATCAGTCCACTAATGAGAGAAGATGGCAAGGAAGTAACAGGCAGTAGAGAGAAAACAGAGCTGCTTAATTCACTCTTTGCATTTGTCTTCACACAACAAGTTAATGCAGCCCAACCTACCAAAACATAACCGTAAAAGACAGACTAGGAATAAAAATTAAAATAAGCATGAAAATAGTAAGGGAAAACCTGTCCACTCTAGATGAGTTCAAATCACTGGGACCTGATGAATTATAGTCCGGAGTTCTGAAGGAACTGTCAGATGTGATCTCAGAACCATTGAACCATATCTTTCAAAGACCCTGGAGCACCGGGGAACTGCCAGAGGACTGCAAAAGAGTTGATGTGGTTCCCATCTTCAAAATAGGAAACAAAATGGATTCAGGAAAGTACAGATCAATCAGCCTGGCATCAATATCTGGGAAAATTCTGGAAAAGATAATTAAGCAACAGATCTGTGAATACCTAGAAGCAGAGGTGGGCTTCACATAATTTAACAATCGGTTCGCCCAGCACCAAAAATGTGAGCACACGTGTGTGCTTGCATGCATGCACGCAGCTTAAAAAATGCAGCTAAGTAGGACGGCATAGTGCTTGGGCGGGTGAGCAGGTGGGCAGGCCCACCTGCAGGTCACAACTACTGGTTCACACGAACCGGTCCAAACCAGCTGAATCCCACCACTACCTAGAAGCAAGCAAAGTTATAACCAGAAGTTAACATGGGTTGTCAAAACAGATCATGCCAAAGGAATCATTTCATTCTTTGACAAAGTGACTAAATTAGTGGATCAGCAAAATGCAGTGGACTTGGATTTTAGTAAGGCATTTGACAAAGTAGTTCACAACCTATTTCTTGGTGAACTAAAAAAATTATGGGATAAGTAGCATCACTGCCAGATAGATTTGTAACTGGCTGACAAAACCACATTCAATATATATGCCTTAATCTACATAGAGAGAAATAAGCTGTGGGGTACCGCAAGATTATGTCTTAGACTCAGTACTCAGTACTCTTCAACATCTTCAACATGCAGATGACACTAAACTCATGCAGTGACACTAAACTGGCAGGGATAGTCAACATTCAACACTCCAGAAGATGGGCACAAGATCCAGACGGATCTCAACAGACTTAACCATTGGGCCCTGTCTAACAAACTTCAAAGTAGAGAAAAGTAAAGTTTTACATTTAGGCAAGAAAAAACAAATGTACAGGTACAGATTAGGTGAAACTTGGCCCAATAGCAGTAACTGTGAGAAGGATCTTGGAGTCCTAGTGGACATGAGCCAGCACTATGCAGCAGCAGTCAAAAAAGCCAATGCAATCCTAGGTTGCATAAACAGAAGGATAGAATCAAGATCATAGGAAGTATTAGTATCACTTTATAAAATCTTAATAAGACCACACTTAGAATACTGCATCCAGTTTTGGTCACCATTTTATAAAAAAGATGTTGAGACTCTGGAAAGAGCGTGGAGTAACAAAGATGATTAGGGGGCTGGAAACCAAAACATATGAAGAATGGTTGCAGGAATTGGGTATGTCTACACTAGTGAAAAGAAGGATTGGGGTGACATGATAGTAGTGTTCTAATATTTGAGGGGCTGCCACAAAGAAGAGGGGGTCAACCTATTTTCCAAAGCACCAGAAGGCAAGACAAGAAACAATTGATGGAAACTAATCAAGGAGAGAAGCAACCTAGAATGGCTTACCTTCAGAAGTTGTGGGTGCTCCATTACTGGAGGCTTTTAAGAAGGAACTGGACAGCTACTTGTCTGGAATGGTATAGGGTCTTTTGCTTGAGCTGGAGGTTGGAGTAGAAGACCTCCAAGATCCCTTCCAACTCTGTCATTGTATTATTCAGTCAGGCATGCAACCTAGTGTATACATATCCACATCTACAAGGAAACAAGAGACCTCAATGCTGTTAGCAGGTGTCAGGTCTCTTTAGCTGATCAAATGTTTTCAAAATACAGTTACTCCCTGCCCCCACCTCCAGATAATACAAAACCACCACCATACACACACATAAAAATCTCATTTTAATATATTGTAAAATCTACTTCTGATTTATCTTGCATTCCAGATTTCTAGACATAGTTTGCAAATAAATCTCTTATATTAATGTATATGATTGCAAGAATGTAATAAGAATGAAAATATTATTTAAATTGGTTTGATTAGAATAAATATTAATATTCAATAATTTAATGATCTGCATCAAGGCTCCAAAATATTTATATTATGTATACGGCTTAGCATGTGCTTAGTATTTTAGACATAAAATATTAATGAATTCAGCATAATCAAGTTCCTTGTATTAAATTTTTTTTTGATGTCTGTAGATACTCAAAAGCCAAGAGAACAAATGGTGAAGGGTGGCTGAACTAGGTGTTATCTGAATTAAAAGAAAAGTAGCTAAGGAGAACAGAGTTTAGAAGTATGCACAAGAAGTTACCTATATAAATCTGAACTTGAAATAAGAACAAATGGAACTCATATTTTTCCATTGCATTTCCACATTAGACAAAATTATCTGTTCATACAGCAAAGATTATTAAATGGGCCATTTGTTTTTAACTAAATGAAGTGATGCACTCAACAAAAAAAGAAAAGAAAAGAAATTGAAACATAATTCCAATTGTTTCTCAAATGCCAATAATAAACTTCACTGAATTCTGCCTCCTACCATATGAGACTCTGTTCCAGATTTTCTTTTTATATTACTCCCACTAAAAAAAACAAGTTTGTGGCAAGCTGTGTATTCCCATTCCACAAATTCACATTTGATCTTCAAAAATCTTACATGCCATTGTGGTTTTGTTACTACACTGACTGAAATATTGGACTTTGTTCTTTATAAATCCATTCTTAATCACGTGGCTGAATCATGACTATCTGTGCAGTAAAGCAGATCATTTCTGCAGTAAAACAAATAAAGGTGCAAAGAATTAATTCAACCTCCTTATAAACTTCTGGCCAATTTTAAAATGTACTAGACTGGCTCATTGTCAATAATAAATCAATACTTACATAAACAGAGAAACGGTATGATTGTGGGCAGGCAAAAAAACAGTGGGAGCAGGAGCAACTTCCAACTTCCTGCTGGCTTCCCCGTTAATTTTGCTTGTGGGAAGCTGGCAGGGAGTGCTGGAAATAATGATTCCATATCTGCAGCTGGCTGCAGCAGTGTGGTGACATGGCAGCACTGAAGCAGATACAACTGTGCCAAATTCCAGTCCCATGGGAGTCACAGATCCTTGATTTTGCAGGCATTCTGTAAGCTTACCCCTTTTGAGATATGTTGATTCAAAATGTATTGCCCTATGATGCTGTATCACCATTCTGAAGCATAGATTTCCAAACAAATAATAAAGAAACTAATGATTCCGTACCCTGTTTGCTTCCTTTGCTACATGTTTAATCTCTTATTTCCCCTGATTTGGTGTTACCACTGCTAGTCTTACTATCTTTTTCTTTATTTTATATGGTTTCCCTTTTGTACTGTTTTCTTGGTTGCTTTTCTCTTTCGGATGTAGATATCTTCCTTGTACTTTTTCTATCTAAGTCACTAACATTATTATTTTTTTTATTGAAAAAGTTTTCAAATACAAATTTTCCCCCCTTTTTTTCCCCCTCTCCCTCCCCCTCCCTAACCCCCCCTCCCCACCCATCCCCCCCTGTGACTTCTTCATAACAAAAAAAAACCTAATTCATAACAGATTACTTACTCCCTCCTCTAGATATTGACCTTTACTTTCTAAAAATATTATTAATATTATAACATCCCCCTTTATCCATACATATCAAAAAAGAGAAAAGAAAGGAAAAAAAAAAGACATTATACTATGACATTATAGAATAACTTCTCCACTTTAAAACTATACGATAAGTCCTACTTTAACATTTAATCTTCTATATATATTACTATAACATTTCAAAGCGGCCTTCCCCATAAAATCTAGTTTAACATTTATTCCACTCTGTCCATTTCCTCCACTCCCCTAAATATAACACTTAAAAATCCCTTTTCTTAGACTAATCAATCTACTAACTAGCTTATTCACCCACTATCATGCAAAATTGCCATACACAACATTTCTTAACATCTTTGATTCACTGCCCACACTACTTAAAAATATATGTCTATATTTTCCATTATATCTAAATAAAAAAAAAGAAAAGACAATGACTTTAAATTTATAATCCATATAGTATCTTCTTTGAGGTCTTTCCACTGGATTGGTAGAACCAACATCCATAATTGGGTAACATAGCTTACTGGTGCAACAGTTTATTCAGGATCTTCAATCATATCTGCCCCCATCAGTAGTAAATATCTTCTTATATGTATAAAAGTAAAAACAACCACCCGAGTGACATTATAATTATATTCCATATAGTAATAATTGTGGGTTTCATCAGGATTATTAATTCCCATCATCGTAGTGGGTAACAACCCGATCTTCTGCATGCCCCAGCATAATTCTCTTGCCTTGTGATTCAAGATAATATAATATGTTTATCAACACAAAAAGAAATTCCAAAATGGATAATTCAAATCCATCAGTTTAAGGCTCGTTTCACGTCCCCAGATTACGGCCATGCAGAGATCTGCCACAAACCTCAGGATGATATTAACCAATATGTCGCCTCTTCTGTGTTTACACATAATCGTTCATATTTTAAAATCACTGGCTTCACTGTTACCTGATTTAGAAATTTCTATTTTTATGCCACCTATTTCTTTTTTTCTTTTCTTTTTGTGGGTTTGGTTTCCATCCTGGTTCCCTTTCTACAAAATGTGTATCATCTGGTTGGTTTTTATTCTGCTTTGTAGATTGGTCTTGTTGGTTTTGCTTTTGTATCTCATATTTCTTTTTTATCCCTTGTGTATCCCCTAATTGGTTTCCATGTTTATCCTTGCCTTGATAAGTCATCACATTAAGATTAGATGCCTCTTCTCTCAAATTTGTAGATAGTCCAGCTGGGGTATCCAATGAATCCAAAGGCAATTCATCTGGTACAGTCTCTGTAATTCGATATTTTACCTTTATTTCCGGCTCCTTCTGCTTATCCTGTATTATACCTGGAGATGTTAAGTTCATTTTCAACCTATTTTGATAAAATTCTTCCGCTCTTTCAACAGTATTTAGCTGATATCTTTCTCCTTGGTATCTAAATATAATACCAACTGGGGCGTCCCACCTGTAGGAGATATTTCTCTTTTTTAACTCATTCACCAGAAAACCAAATTTCTTCCTTTCCATCAATATCTTAGGTGGGAGTTCCTTGTAAATCCAAATCTTTCTTCCATACAATTGCAAATTAGAATTGAAGGAATTTTGAACGATATTATTCCTAATTTCCTTATCTGTAAAATAAATCACCACATCTCTAGGCAATTGCCTTTGCTTAGCAATCCAAGAGTTGATTCGATAAACTCTGTCGATCCTACAAAACACTTCGTCAGGTTGAACCTTTAGAATCCCAGCTAGAAATTCAGAAGATATTTTCCTTAAATCATCTCTATTATTTTCCTGCAAACCTCTTAATCTTATCGCATATTCTGTGAAATTATATTGTACCATTAAAATCTCTTTTTCAATCTTCTGTTGCAGATTTTCTGCATTACCATACTTTTGATCAGCATCCGTTTTAGGTTTTTCTTCTAAGCTATTATCCTGAGTGTTTGTCAAATCATTTTCAATTTTTTGAATTCTATTGTCCAATTTATCTTGAATTTCTTCCATTTTAGACTCTAGTACATTAGTATTTGTGTCCAACTGTATCATAAATCCTGTAAAACCATTAACCACTTTTGAGAATTTTTTCTCCAAAAAATCAAACTTAGATTTCACCAATTCTTTAATTTCCTGCTTAAATTTTTCAAATTGCTGATTCACAATCTCCTCCCTTCTTTCAATCTCCTCTATAAAAAATTCTATTATATTAAAATCAGGTTTCTGAGACTGAAGAATTAAGACTTGTTCCTTTAAGTTGTTGGTGGGGGGATCCCCCCCTTCTTGTTTATCTGACTTTATGAGTCTCAGTGCCATGTTTCCGCCCAGGCAGGCTTTGTTAAAAAAAAAAGCAAGAAAGACTTCTTTCCAGTCAACAACAATATCAAATCTCCAAGGGAAAAAAAAGAGAAAAAGACACAGGAGCGAAGTTTTGTCTACAAATGTAACCAGTGGTATTTATTCCGCTACATTGTAGTAATAGAAAACGGAAGGACTTTCCCTTTCAGCCTCTCCTCCAGCCAACGCCATTTTAAAAGGCTTTTTTTTCCCTCTTTCTTTTCCTCCTCTCTCTTAAGTAATTTTTTTTAAAAAAATCAGTAAAATACTTGCGGTTCAATATTACAGGTCCAGCTCACATTTTCTTTGAGTAGTCTGTTAAATTTGCAGGCTTGCTTTTGACGCCTGGCTCTGCATCAGCAGAGGTCTCCCAAAGCCCGGAGCGGCGGCTGGGGATACGGGGCATCTCATCCGCTCCGTCCCAAAAGTAAAAAAAAAAAACTTTTGGGACTCCGCAGAGAGTTCTACCCACCCCTGCCGGCTCTATCTCCGTTTCCTCATGGAAACGGAGTTTTTTCGAGCCGCCATTCCGTTGTGAAGGCGGCTCTAACAGGCGATGGAAGCTGACGATCCCAAAGGAACGTCTGGCAGCGACAAACAGCAACCCGGAAGTCTCACTAACATTATTTTTGATTGTGACAACAGAGAAATATGTTTTAAAAAATAAATAATTATCAGAAACACCTTGAGATGCTTTGTGTGTGTGTTTGTGTGTCTTCTCTCCTACCTCTTTTATTCTCCCAAGAACTAGGAAAGTAGATTAGACTTCTTGGTCTCCCTGAACCTTTTTCTGATAATTCTTTGTAAATTCAGCCAATGATCTGCTGGCTATATTGGCCCACTACAGCACCTGTAGCTGGATTTGAACCCCACCACGATCCCTGTGAAATTCAGGAGAGCAGGGAAAAAAGAATCATGTTCATATTTGCCCCATGAAGGGAGCAAATGGAGAAGCTTTAGAGGTTCATAACTACTAAAGCATGTTAATGACTTTGCAATGGGGAATGCAAATGCAGAGGTGGTGCTCCTAGTACTGATATAAATAACCTATCAACCACATCAGTGTATTGTCAGCGTCAGTGTCTGGAATCCAATTTTCATTTTACAGTATTGAAATAGCAATTTCTATCTGTTCTTGAAACCATCTCTATGTTTGAATTGCATCCAGGGTTTTTATACTGCTAGCAAGAGCATATCTGAGTGAAATACAGTGGAAGGCATGCTTAAACCATGATTTTTATGTCTTTAATTGCTGTTTTAATAACACATTGACAACAATTAGGAGTCTTTCACCACAATAAATTTATATTAGAATCATATTAATGAGTGTTCTGATGATAGCAAATTGAAAAAAGAGGGACCATTTCCATACTTACTGGAAATGTCAGGGAAAAATTACTGGCTCATACCAGTAATTCTATTCTGTAGAAAAAGTGCACATGGGCAGATCTGAGCATAGTAGTGGCACATGCTTACAGCATTCTCTAATATTTTTAAATCATCTACTTTACTCCTAAATACAGAAACAAATATGTATGTAGCTTCATGTACAGAATTACTTTCCGTGTTCCTCAGTATCCTTTTCATAATCAAAGCCAACATTATGTTGGAATGTGTTATTCGCTTCAAGATAGTGTTATCAGATATGGGATACAAAAATCCAAACAACCATTAGAGGGCAGTGAAGAATTACTTTTCTATGGCTTTCTGGTGCCATCTAGTGGCCATTTAAAATTTGGCCTCCCTGTTTTGATCATCTTCATGGGAGTCTATTTAATCAAAAAGGTAAGAAAGACTGAGTTGAAAGTGTGTTTTTGGAACGTTTTCTTTTAAGCTGGAGTGGAAGAAAGCAATGGAGTAAAATACTAATATCTGGATTTCAGTGTTTCTTTTCATTTTAAAATATAGTTTGCCACTCCCACAAGTAGTGACAATCTAGGTAACAGTAGTCTAATGCAGGACAGTTGTTAAGGAAAGGCGATAATATTCTTTATGATTTTCCTTTGAATAATTCTGCAAATAT